TGTGTGTGTGTGTGTGTGTGTGTGTGTGTGTGTGTGTGTGTGCGCGCGCACAGCGCCATGTGGTTCAACTGACAGATACACACCTGGGTTTCTGCTGAACCGGTTGCTGAGGAGACGGACTGAACGATAGGCTGGATTTAGAGTTCTATTGGAATGATTCTGATTTGGGATTTTTGGCCACTATGTGGGCATTTCCTAAACACTTGATTTTGATAATCCGAATCCCTGCCTTGATGTTTTAGTGACATTGCCCCTCGAAAATTACTCTGCATAGCAGCGGACAAATCCGGGTTTTGTTTTTAAAGTCCTTAAAGACAGGACTTAGGCTTTCTTATGGTATTTCGCGTGTCAGCCTCGGGCCTTGGGTCGAACCTTTCTAAACCAGGGGGCAGCAGACAGGAGGACCCAAGCCAAAGAAGCAAAATGCATTTGAAACCCGTTAACACCTCTGTGGGAGGAAGGCAGGGAGTGCGTCCTCACTGGAGAAGGATTCACTCTGTCCCGTGAGATCTCAGGGTCCGGCACCTGAGGGAAATCGGCTCAGATTTCTCCACTTTCCCCAGTCCCATGAGCCACTTTTCCCTTCATTCCTGCAGTAGACTCCTAACTAGTCCTGTCCTCACCCTTACACCCCCTAAGCCCTCCCTTGCTATGTTGTGGCCCACGGGGTAAAGACCGAAGTCCTTTCCACAGCTCACTAAGCTCTTCCTACCAGCCACCCCCACCCCGCCCTGATGAACTCCAGCTATTTAAAAAATGTGCTCTGAGTTCCCCATGCATACACTGTTCTGTTGCCTCTAGGCCTCTTCCCTTTGCAATGCCTGTTCCCCAGTGCCTTTCCCATGTGTAACTTCTGTCATCTTTAGCTCTCAGTTTAAACATCATCTCCCCCCGAAGCCCTCCCCGGCCTCCCTGCACACTGGGCTGGGGTCCCCCTGGATGCTTCCATAGTAACCCCAGTTCAATGACCCTGTTTGACAGCCTTGTCTCCCATGGGCTTGTGCTCTTTGAGGCCCAGGACTCTGCCTTATATCCCCAGAGCCTAGCACAGTGCCTAGCTAGAAGATGCCTGGCTAAAAGTATTTATTAAATGAAAGAATATGAAATATACGCTCAGAGGGGAATGTTCTGTTTCCCCCAGAGCATCTGCATTTTAGACAGTGTCCTAAGAAACCTGATGCTGGGGTACCTGGGTGGCTTAGTCAGTTAAGCGTTCAGCTCAGGTCGTGATCTCACAGTTCGTGGGATCAAGCCCCGCATCAGGCTCTGCACTGACAGTGTAGAGCCTGCTTGGGATTCTCTCCCTGTCTCTCTGCCCCTACCCCGCTCGCACACGAGCACTGTTTCTCTCTCTCTAAATATAAAATAAATAACGTTTAAAAAAAAAAAAAAGAAGGAAACCTGACGCCTTCCCCTAGAACAATGCATCAATGCCAGCAATGGGGGGACGCTGAGAAAGCATCTAGTCCACTTGTACCAAACTTCCGTGCATCGGAACCACCTAGGGAGTTTTTAAAAAAAATAACGGTTTCCCTTAGCGCTGGCTCCATGCAGCAGCCAGGAAGCTGTGTTTGTAAATCTCTCCAGAAGATCCTCGGGCAGGCATCTGACTAATGTTCAGGAACCACTGATTTAGTCCAGCTTTCTCTTTCTACAAAAAGGAAGGAGACCAGGAGAGGGCAAGCGATGTACGTACCCAAGGTTTTACAGCTTATAAGTAGCACAGCCCGGAATGGGATATCTTCTGGTCTCAACTTCAGAAGTCTTAGTCTAGGGGCGCCTGGGTGGCGCAGTCGGTTAAGCGTCCGACTTCAACCAGGTCACGATCTCACGGTCAGTAGGGATTCCGAGCCCCGCCGGCTCTTCTGTTGACGGCTCAGAGCCTGGAGCCTGTTTCCCATTCTGTGTCTCCTCTCTGCCCCCTGCTTGCGTTCATGCTCTGTCTCTCTCTGTCCCAAAAAAATAAATAAACGTTGAAAAAAAAAAATTAAAAAAAAAAAAAAAAAAAAAAAAGAAGTCTCAGTCTCACTGTAACAGGCCAGGGGGGGAACGGGTAGGGGGACCTTCAGGAGAGAATTCGAGCCACCTTGGCAGCCTCTGCTGTCTGTGCAGGTGTTGAGCTCTGCCTCTCGCCATGAAATCTGATATATGTAGAGAGATACTATATATTAGAATATGTTACATAGCTATATTATAATCTATGTTATTATTAGAAATATATGTCTATTTCAGCACTTGTACTTTTCTGCTTCTCTTCAGAAAGGAAGCGGGCAAAGGTACCTGAGCAGCTCACACCCCCCGTTCAGGAAGAACCTGAGCCTGTTAGCAGTGTCCTACAAGGGGGTGACATCCTGGCCTTAGCCATTAAAAAGGAAGACTTGAAGAAGGTAAGAATAAAATCCAGGGATCCCCTCACTGCAGGGGGAGCGTCTGATTCCATGAAGGAATTGAGCACAAATTCTTTTCACTTTTGCATCTAATTTTTTTCAATATTTATTTTCGAGAGAGAGAGAGAAAGCGCACAAGCAGGGGACGGGCAGAGAGAAAGGGAGACACAGAATCTGAAGCAGGCTCCAGGCTCTGAGCTGTCAGCACAGAACCCGAAGCAGGGCTCGAAGCCACGAACTGTGAGGTCGTGACCTGAGATGAAGTCAGACGCTTAACCAACTGAGCCATCCAGGCACCCCTCTAAATTTTTTTAAGTTTATTTATTTATTTTGGGAGAGAGTGCACGCACACAAGCAGGGGAGGAACAGAGAGAGAGAGTATCCCAAGCAGACTCCACACTGTCAGTGTGGAACCCAACTTGGGGCTCGAACTCACGAACCGTGAGATCACGACCTGAGCCGAAATCCAGAGTCTGACACTTAACCAATTCAGCCACCCAGGTGCCCTCACCTTTGCATCTAAAGGAATTTACTATGTTGTTTGTTTTAACGTTTCTGAGATTTACATAGAAACCCCGGGAAATGAGATGTTGAGGTGTCTTGCTTCCCATGGAGGCAAGTGTCTATAATCCCCATTTCACAGAAGGGAAAAGTGAGTTTGAGAAACATGTTACAGAGGCGGATAAAGCTGCTAAACCCTAACCCCACGCTTTACCTGAAAGAGTCAACCACCTCTCACCTGAACTGTCTGGAGGCATTAGATGTTATTTTTTTTTCCCCCTCCAGGACATTGCTAAGTCGTAAGTCTGTTGCATAGACATTTCCTCGACAGAACATATGGACAGAACCGGAGAAACAGATTTGTCAGCCTTCAGGAATCCCACCAAGAATTAGGACAGAGGAGATGGGTGGTGTTATTTCCTCCTCCTGATCTCAAGTGGGATTCTCCTCTTTTGTATTTTGTTTTTTTTAGCAACACATTCCTCGCTTTATTGAGACACAAGATAGACCTGTCGTCACCCAGAAATTTATCATCCGTAAACTCAAACCCAAGGATCATAAGAGGAAGGTCTGCCACTTAGTAGCATATCCTGCTACTCCAGATGCAGCCACGAAGCCCCTGGACTACTCTGGTATGCCCAGCCTTGGCCTTGGCCTTGGCATCACTGGTCTCTGAATTCGTGGAGCGGCCTTGAGAGAAAGCCGAGTCGCCATCAGAAAGTAACCCCTCGAATCTGGAATCATTTACAGGAGCTACTCTGTCCCCTCCCCTTTCCCCCCCAGGTCCGGGTGACAGCTTCCATGGCTGTGACCAGATTCTGCCTCACCACATCTTGGGGAGTCTCCAGGACTTTAAGAGAATTGCAGTTGCTCGAGGAAACATCCAGGTTTGTTTGTACAGAGCCGCTGGGATGAGAGAAGTCGCTGAAGTCATCTCGGTCTTAACCACCTGGCACAGTCAAGCAGGACTGGGGTCCCAGAGAGGCAGTTCAGTCTCCGGGCCCCGGGGAGTCTGAAGTGATAGTGACCCTTCCCCTGGCAACCGTGAAGCCACCTGAAGCTAGTTCAGCTGAAGCCAGGAATTCACTATAAGGATACAGAGGTGCCTCCAGGAACCCCAAAGCCAGTGTGTCCAGCCCCAGTTAGCCTGAACCCCGAGAGGCATCCGGGCTCAGGGCTCACACTCCTTCGCTGCCCTCCACTCCTGTGCGCCGGCTTCGTTTTCCCTTCTCCAAGGTCTGGCCTGCTCTCCTCTCCGGTCCACAGGGTGGAGGAAGGTGGCTTCCCGCAGCTCCCAGGGCCACATGAAGAGGGCCACATGTCTGTCTGACTTTCCCGTCGTGAGGTGCTTTACTCTCTCTCAGTGCCTTTGCTTCCCTGGTTCCAGGCAAAACATCTCCGATTGGTCTGGTGCTAAGGGGACTGGGGTCATATCAAAATGTCTCTTGTCATCGTGCAGGTGCTGGTGCCAATCAGCATCAGTTGTGAGGACAGATACACTGAGAGTTGTCGGCCACAGGCTTAGAGCAAAGGTTCCCCTCTGGAAGAGAGGGAACTGACAGGGGCTTCCAAGACCCCCTGGTTCTGTCACTCACTACCTTGGGGTCCAGGAGAGGAGGGACTCTGAGCAGCGTTGGGGGGACTGCAGGGGGTTAGGCCTAAAGAAGTCTCTGCTCAGCCCCGGTTCAGCTCCTCCTCGCCAGGGTCCACATGCTCACCGTGTACTCTTTTTTTTTTTTTTT